GTGTCTGTGAGGCCCCGCCCCCGCACGCAGATGAGAGAGAGATCTCTTTTAAAATATATTGAAAGTTAGAAACGGAGATGGTTAGATAAAATGTGCAAGATAACGTTTATGTAGCATTTATTTATTGTCGAAATGATGACATTTCATAACGGGATCAAATCAAAGTGAATGGCCTGCTGCTGCTGAATGCATGGGGCAAGTGACTGGAAAAAGTTTTAAAAGTTATTACATCGTTTCAGATAATAATAATGATAATTCATTCTATTTATGGGCGCCTTTCAAAGCACCCAAGGACACCTTACAATTCATAACATATTCCAAGGAAATGTTTTAAGACAGTACAAAGAATGCAGTCCGGGTGATGTTTTTTATGTGGGGTGCAGATGAGAGGGAGCTGTCCAGAATGACACCAAGATGTTGTGTTTAAGTTCTTGATAAGCCATTAAAACAGTAAAATAAGTATCTCCTGTTCACCAAAACATACCCATCTGTTATGGAAAAATAAAGTATTCCAAAAGTAATCTGAATACGTTTTTTAAGACACGTAACTGTAACTGTATTCTGATTATTTTCAGAGCATGTATTCAGTATTCAGAAACTGATTACATTTACAAAGTAACCCTCCCAACCCTGCCTAGAAGTGATCCTTCGTTAGCGCGAAGAGTCTGCTAAGCTTTATGCGGTCCGCAGTACCTGAGCGTGCTCCACTAGCATTGTGGACTATATAAAAATCGCTGGCCCGTGATAGTGTCGATTGGATACATTTTGGCCCTTGGACAAATGTAGTTGGTGATCCCTGCCATACGTTCTCGAGAAGCGGCGATAGAAAAAACAAGAGCAGTGAGCATACTGAGAAATACACCACCATGACATGGCTGCATTACATACCAAGCTCTGTGTTTACAGAAAAACACGTTGTCAGAAAACACTGGTAAAATAAACTTGGCCTATGAATTAATTTCCAAAAAGTCATATTAGTCGTTTGCATTGACATAAACAGAGCACAAATGGAGGTATATTTTGATCAACTAAAATATGGCAAAGCTTACACATTTCAAGTAGTTATGGCCCTCTTCCAGTAAGCTCCACACTCAATCCCGTTGATTCAAGATAGGTGAGAGGTGTTCAGAAAATAGATCTATTTAAGGTTAGTAATTCCAGCAGCGAAAGTAAACGTTGTCAATAAACTTTATTGCAGACAAAACACGTGACTTTGTGTGCTTCTTCTTCTTTGGTTAGGTGGATGGACGCAGACCTAAGGAGCACAATCTGCATGGTGCCACCTACTGGGCAGGTGCGTCATATAACTTTACGCACAGCTAGTTCATTTAAAGACAATACAATTCATTTAAACAGACAAAAACAAACAACAGATCGAAAATATCATGACTTAATAATAAACTTTTACTTAGCCAACAAACCACTTTTTTGGTTAAACGTCTGCCAACATCACACACAGTGTGTTTTCAGTTCATAACAATATTAGCCTAATCTAACTTCTTGTTTACCCAAAATGTTATTTTTCAGCAGTTGTTTTCTACTTTGCTGAACCCACAAGTGTCAATAAAAACCAAAATGTTGACGGTCAAAATGCCACAACCGAGGATTAAAAATCGTAGTCAACACATCAATGAGTGACGTCTTAGTTACTAGTTAACTTCTTCCAAACAGTCTATGCTCAGTCTGCAAGGCCCAGAAGTTCTGCCCTGCTGCTACAGAGTGTGGTCTTTGATCAATGTTTATTAATATGGATCATATCCCATGTTCAAATATATATCAAGAAAAATCCTTTGGTTCCCCTATACATCTCATATGTGGGAAGAATATAGGATGGATGTTTCTTGAGATATGTGAAAAACATAATCGCCCACACACAAACAGAGATCGCTGAAGTCAAGCATTGTGGCAACAAATAACCATCGCTTCACCGACTTAGAGACATGCATTATAACTAATGCTGTCGATCGACTAAAACATGTAATCACAATAATAACCTATGATTAATTATGAATGATTAATTATGAATGATTAATCATAAGCGTATAATACCAGCATTATTTGTATTTAAGGTGGAGATAAAACACTATTTAAAAAAAAAAGAAATGAATGACAAGCTGCTTAAGAAAAATCTTTGCAGTTTCCTTTGCTTTCTTTGCCTTTTCACTGCCATACGATTAAAAAATCAGTGCTAGTATTATGGGAGCCACTTAGGGTTCAAAATATTGTTATTGATTTGCGTTTATGCGTGAACGTTGACAGCCCAATTATAATGTCTTCATAGTGTGCCAGATAATATCAAGTATAATGTCGGCCTACTATTGACAGAAAAAGAAAAAGGAGAACACATGACCTGTTGAAATGCAGGGATTATTCCCACCACATAAACTCTGTGAATTGCAGATACTTTTGAAGACAAATATCCAAATGTTTTATTAAAATGCACATACAGACTTGAAGAGGATGTAGGATGCACTGCTGCACTTTCAGTGACACAGTTTCCCAAGCTTTGCTCCGTTGTGCGTCTTGCGTCACTCCTTCTGGTCTCATGTGGTTTTGCTTTGGTTGCAAACGCTCCAGTTCACAGAGCGAGCACTGAGCTTTTCAAACAGCCTTCATGATCACAAATCCATCCTTGCATACTTACTCACTGTAACACATTAGAAGAGCAGCACTAGCACAGACTACCAATCAGAACAAAAACAACTCATGATTCCAAGCCCGACATTCCGATCTGGGAAATCTCCTCCAGATTTCTCTGAATGAAGCCCAGAGCCACTCGGAAGCCTTGAGTTCGGACTTGGGCCCAGTCCGAATGACCATAACAGATGTTTCAGTAGGAATGCTGGAGTAACTGTGGTACTATCTTGTGCTCCTCCGTACTGATGTCAGCCACAGCCATTTCATTACCTCCCTCTGGCCTATGGGACGCAGACCTAAGGAGCACAATGAGTAATGAAACCCGCTCCTTCCCCAGAGTCCCTGCCCTGTGGCTATACTGCGTGTGGATTCAAACCTACAGGGGTAGACTGTTAGCAGGCAGTGAAACAATCTTTTGGCTCTGTAGTTCAGCACAGAAGAGAAACAGAAATGCACAAGACTGTTGGATCTCAAGTTTCCCTGCTGTGTTTTTAAATACAGAAAGATGTGATCATTTTTGCTCAATGTTTTAATTAGGAAATTAAATCATAACTTGAAGTGGAGGTAGAGCTACAGCTTTGATCAACTCTCACCAAATGCTAATAAGATTAAGCTCATTCATTGATTAGACACAACAATTATGTTAATTATTTTTTCTTTTTCAAGGAGCATTTTAAAAATAAATTCTTGTTTCAGCTTCTTAGATACATGTTGTCAGAGGAAAATGAGAAAAGTCTTATTTAGTCAGAAGTCTGACGATTCAAATAGTTTTCTGTGCTGTTCCTAAGGCAAGAACAAATGAAAAAATGGTTTTGCTTTTTTTTTTTAAGTTTCATAATATTTAAAGAAAACCTGTGAAACAGGGGAGAAAAACGTTTTTCCAGGATTGTTTTTCTTATTATTTTGTCATCACTTTAAACAGGTGTAGAAGAGATAAGCTTTGGCAGGTGAATTGAATGTTTCTAAGGTTTTAAGATTTATTCTACCAGGTAGTGTAGAATCAGTTCATTAGCTCTTCATTGAAAACAGTTGAAACATCACTGAGAAGAGCAATAAGGTTGAGCCAAATTGTTAAAGGTGAATATAATGGGTGGCGTGGCTAGTAACATGCTTTATTTGGGCTATAAAAACACAATAAAAAACAATATCCTCAAAATGAATAAGTATAAAGATGCACCTCTGTCTTTTTTAAACATTTCCTCTAACCGAGGCGCCCATTCAGACAGGGTTTTGATCCAGGATGAGCAATTACTCCGCTGAATGAGCCCATCCACCAACCCATGTGTCTGTCGCGAGCAGTAAAGAGAGCAGTGAGAATACCCAGTGACCGCTGGTTTATAATCAGTCAAACACAAGCGTGTCAACCCTGCGCCCCGAGACACTGCGCTATGCACACTAAACAGAGCTGGCGGCCCTGTGAAGGCCCGCTGAGCTCTGAGATTCTGCCTTGACTTTTGCTAAATTTAGTCAATTCTTTCTCTTTATCCAAGGCAAATCAATGTGACCCATTTGTGGGGTTGTCTCCTCCATTCCTGTCAGTGCGGCCCCTCTGGTACATCTGGCAGAGATACAGGTCCTGCCAGAGATGACAATGTGGAATTTAAACATTACGAACCATGGAAAGTGCAATATTCATTTTTCTCGTAACATGGGCCGTATGGGATTTAGCACATTCATCACATGGACAGTAGAGGAGAACTAATGCTGCTGTGGCACTTATAACAGTTTGGATATTTATAGGGTCCTGAGACAAAACTCAGGATCCCACCTTAGTTCTCCTGATTCTTGATTCAATGTTAAGAACCATATAAACAGCCAATTTCTTACAGTGAAGGTCCTTTCCTCAGACACCTGCAGGTACAGATACAAGTATGATCAGGTTACCTTCTCTGCCGGCTGTAAATGGTAATAATGACCTTACTTGACAGCTTAGGGCCGAGGTTAAATATCCAGGCATCCATCAGCACTCGCGAGAAGGGTGAGAGCTAGAGAAAGCAGAAAGTGAATGTGAAATGGAGAGTTAAAGATAAACACAGTTAATGGGATTAAGCGGAGAAGGATGAGAAGAGGGAAAGAGCAAACTGAGAGAGAAAAGAGGTAATTTATGATGGAAAATCCCATTTTGTCACCCAGGTGGACTTTCTGTTGTGCTGGAAGGCACATTCAGAAGTGATTCAGAGGTAACATGTTATGCTATGTGTGTCTGAACGCCCGAGTCAGACAGTTTATCTGCTTGAATAGAGAGAATTATTCAAATAGAAAGCATGTATCCTGGCTCTGATGTGCTGATAAAAACTTTACACGTGTACAGCTCCACATCTTAGAATAGAGTTTAAAGCGTCTCAAGAGGAAACAGCGTGCACTCTGCACACACACGTAATACATGTTGCAATGTCTGAAAGCTCTGTTTTGTGTGTCTGACTGATTGAGAGAGTTGAGTTCCATGTGTGAGTGAAAATGCGTGATTAAGGGGGGGAGGTTTGCAGGTGGCTTGCTCCGTTGTTCTGCCAAGAAAGCAGAATACCCTGGGGTTAGGTGGAATAAATGAGAGTGGGAGAGGTGAGGCAGTGGAGGAGGAGTGCAGCAGGGGAGGAAGGGTGAGTGGAGGGAACTTGATTTACATGGTGGTTATCATAATCGATTAAAAAAAGTTTTCTCTTCAGTTTCAGCACCCTGTGTCTCTCGCCGGGGTTGGGCGGGGTTTCCAAGGAAGGGCCAGGCCAGATGACTTCATTGCCATATGGTATCTAACCTCTCACTCACACTCGTTTACAACAATACAGCGCATACCCATTCTCCAAACACTCCCTTTGTTATGCAGCACTCAGTAATTCTGATAAAGCCATGCCCATAAACACTGATCCGTCAGCCTAGGTGGGACCTAAAGTAAGTGGCCTCTAACCACAGCCTCCCTGATGTAGAGCCATTACTGGTACCTCCTGTGAGTGAGCTTACAAAGACTCACACAAGTTTCCTATTAATCATGTTAGTAGTGCTTTTGCAATATCTTGTGTCTGAAGCCACACTGATCAAGTTCTGCTTGATCTGAAAAGTCAAATGTATTGATATTTTTGATTTGTTTCCTGTTGTAGAGCCATGGTGCGTTTTTGGCATTAGGACTCTTCCAGTTCTTATTATTGCACAAAGCTCCACCCAGATTTGATATGAACAGATTCTGCACTTTTATACAGGACAGTATTGTGTCAGTGGGAGACTTCTGGTTTCTGTTTGTTGTCTGCTTTGACCAATGGTGATTGGATGCAAGTAAACTGTGGCAGGATTAGTTTTGCTAAAATGCAAACTTGGAAGCCATTGGCTATTGTTTGACAATGATTTATCTTTTTATAGCAAACTGGCTACTTGTGAAACAATACTCCATATTCAGTATTGCATCTTAAGTTTCTAATCAGACTGTAAACATTTAGCTGCTCATGGAAAAGAAGGAACTGTCTGGATATCTGCTGGCTACTCCAAAACCCCAGTCATATATAGAAAAATATAGCCAATGGATAGTTTGTTTTTGTTTTAGTCCAATAAAAAAGCCATTTTATATGCATTGTTGCATTCTTGCAGAGGGGAAGATAAGAGATTATACCACTCTTATATCTGTTCACTGAATATATACATTTGCATTCAGTTTACCATATCATAAATCAGGCGGAAAAAAGCTAAAACCTGCACCTTTACATATCTCGCTAGTCAACATAATCAACTAAGTTGATTTATTCCGTACAAATACGGAAGTCTTATAATAAAAAGTTGTGATTTCATAGAGGGTATTGGTAGGTAAATGTTGTTATCTTTGAATAAAAACAGACTGCCTTCAGTCTTTATAGTAAGATAAGGTTATAAACCTTGTGTAGAGCGCAGACTAAGATAACAAGTCTAACGTGAAACCTGTCCTCAGCAGATTTAGTATCTCTGTTTATTCTTTCAGGGCCTCTACCATCCAGCTGGCTACTGGCATCTATTCAATTGCTGGTCCCATAGGGTTCTCTTCATGATACAAGACTGTTTACACCAAAACAAATAAAACCACATAATTGTAAAGCATGGTATACCTGAATATGACCAGACCCAGGGCCACATATCTAATCTAAATCCCCAACAACTGTCTTAGCCATAACTCAAAACCAAATGATCCCAGTGTGACTGAGTGTGCTGCTAAAGCATTGCATACTTCTGTAATTACTATGTGTTTAAAAAAAAAGTTGCCTCTACAGTCAAGTCAATAGAATTAGGGGTTACAGTAGGCTGTGTGTATTGACAAGGATACATAGAGGGGAGAGAAAAGACACTTTGAAATGCTAAAGCAAGCCAGTGAACTCTTGCTGGTAACGGCAGAAAATATGGAATGCATTACGGAAGTGACAGAGTTGAGGGTGAAGACACAAACAAACACATAAATCCGCCATACACAGACACATAGACGATAGCGGAGACAGACAGGCACCCTCTGCCATTGCTATCTCTCTACATCTGGGCTTTCCCTCCCTCTTTCTCTGCCTCAATCACACCATCTTGCAGCCTTAACCCTCACTTCCTTGGCATTGCTCTCACTCCCCTTTGCGCCCCAAATAATTTATCTTTGGTTTCCGTCTCCAGTGCCCAGGGTGGACTCGGTTCCACTCCCTCTCCCCCGGTCCATCTTCTTCCTCTTGTTTTCCAGCCTGAGGCCCAGAGAGAAAGTATGTGCCCTGTCTCTCCCTCTCTCTGGCTGTGTCTTGGCTGCTCTATAAAGGTTAGTGAGAGCATGGTGTGGGTGTTGGTGTCTCAGGGTGAGTTATGGGTACTACAGCCAGGGGACCCAAGAAAGAACCGAATGAGTGTACTGTTGGGAGAAGGATGAAAGAGAATAAGAAGGAGGGAGGGATGGAGGGAGGGCAATTCAGGGGTTCACAATGCCAAGTGCTGATGTGTTTGTTTTCCATCACTGCTGTTCCGGGCAATGACAGAGAGAGAAAACAAACGGCAACACTGATATATTACATACAGCCTTTCAACTCTATTCTCAAAGCAATATTTTACGATGAAAGTGTCTTACTTATCGCCAACCCTTGGTTATCTCTTCATATTAAATCTTAGCACCAGGAGTCCTGGATAAAGATAACTGACTTAAAAACAATGTTTAGTACTTTGGAAAAAACAAAACCATGCATGTCTAAGCCTATGGATGTATAATCACAGCAGAATAAAAATGTACTGACCGTTCAGAGATGAACATGAACGTGGCATTGGTTACATTAGCCATCATTGTGACCAGAGCGCACGTATTCACGGCATGGCGTCTATTCAAAACCGTGACTTTTACTGTATCATTTCAATGGCATCTGTCAACTTTTTACACTGTGCAGTAGTGTTTAATGCTAAGCATGAATACCTGTCTTTATAAGGTAGTGTGCTGCTCCTGTTGCATGCAGAGACATCTCCAGGCGCGATGGATTGGTCCAACCCAGGCACTGTAAGGTAACGTATGGGACAGATCGGAGGGCGGAGGAAGAGGTGGAGGAAACAGTTGAGTTGGAAAGATGGGGAGAGAAGACGGAGCTTGGCTCAGATGTATGGAGAGACATCAGTTGTGCAGCTGGATGGGAGGAAAGAGGGAAAGAAGAGAGGGACGATGAAAAGCAAAGGTAAAGTGGATGAGAGAAACAATGGAAGTGGTCATATCTCACCTAATGTGAATTGCTCTAAAATCAACTTTGGAAAAACATGCAAAAAATGATGAACAAAGTTAAAAGCCTTAATTTAGAATAAACATATAGCCTCAATAATGAGCTAGAGGAGGCTCATACAGCATATATGTAAAATATGATTATTTAAATCTTGAATCTGCTTAAAACAACTAAAAAGAAAATTGATTGGACATTATAGTGTAGAGAAGAAAGATGCTCTCGCACAAAGTAAAATATGAATATTACAGTCTGCTTGATAAGAATAAGAAACACAAATGGAAATGAACTGGACATTAGACAGTAGAAGAGAAAAAAGAGAAGAATAATAGTCAATGGGACGAGGAGACAGAGGAAGGAGAGGCCCCCAGCAGCCCACACAAACTCTACCCTGCTGCTGTCTGACCCACGGCACTTCTTATGAATGAAAGGAAATTGTCTGCCTTAAAAAAGCCTGTTTTAAAAAGCACGAGTAATAATAATAGAAACAAGCCAGCTTCTGAGAGCAGGACAACAGTGTACGGGACACACAACAGGGGTAAGAAGGAGGAAAAAACGGAGAAGAGGTAGAAAGGTGAAATGACAAGAAGAGAGGCTTATTTTATTAGCCTTTAATAAATATCTGACAGATTTCCTGAGGAAATATCGCAGATCACATGTAAAATAGTTTAAGACTGATGTCAACTGCAGCAACATATGAAATCTATTAGCGAGGAGCCACAGCAGACACAGGGTGA